TATATGTAGAGAGAGAGAGAGAGAGAGAGAGAGAGAGAGAGATATGGAGGGAGAGAGAGAGAGAATGCACACATGACCAAAGCTGGATTAATCAAAGACCTCCCTTGGACTTTGGCTAGAATGATAGGCAAAGTCTTCTAAGACCAGGGACAATAAAGCCATCCATGTCAGTCCCTTCTCTACTAGAGTCTATGCAATCACTCCTTCAAGGGAAGCATATCTGAATCTGAGTAAAGTTAATAGCATAGAAAGCAGAGGAGACCTGGTTTCAAAGAATGCCAAATAATGACTTCACAGTCTTCAACATCATCTCTGAAGGAAACTATGGGCAACTTCTATGGTTTGAATGTGGTTTGAGTGTTTCCTCTAAAGGGCTCATGTGTTAGAAGTTCAATTCATGTGCGGTAATTTTGAGAGGTAGTGGAACCTTTAAGAGGTGGAGCTTAATGGAAGATAATTAGGTCATTGGGGATATGCCCTCAGAAGTGATGAACTTTTCTAGCTGATGTTAGTGCCATGTCCATGAGCATCCAAAACTATGAACTAAATAAATCTTTGCTTTATAAAGTACCTAGCTTCAGATATTTCATTATAGCAACAGAAAACTGGCTAATATAGAAACCATGAATCCACCCCATCTCAGCAGATGACCTTGTTTTTAAGTACTTCAAGAGACTAGGGCCATTTCTGTCACCTCTCTCACTATCCTCTCCCCTCCCTAGCTACCTATTATGGTCTCTATATCCACACCCATCTTTCCCTCTTTACTTCTAACCTGACAGAGATAAGTCTCAGCCTACGAAGACCTGTCCCTCCACCTGGGCCCAGGTACCTTCTCTAGGGAATGTCCTCTTTCTACAAAGCCCCCACTTTAGCTCACAAACATGTTCCAAGTGTCTCCCATCACAAACACATGTCTATCATTGATCTTTTGTCACATCCTAACCATTAATATTTCCTCTCTGTTTTCATAAAAATTTCTCCGAAGAGTTTCTATACTTGCTGTCTATACTGCCTCACTTCCCATTTACTCCAATTTAGTTTTTGCACTTATGCTCTAAGTCATTACCACCTCTTTGCCCCTAAATTAATGGACTTGACTCTGTCCTTGCTCTGTTTACCCTTTACCACATTCCATGTGGATGGTCTCAGGTTTCTGTCCTTGACCCACTTCTCAATTCATTCTCCAAGTAACTTCTCCAGGGGAAACTTTCTCTTGCCCTGGATGACCTGGTGGTGGTACCTCCAATAGACTGTCCAAATCACCTCCCTCCTTAGCAAGACTGTCTCTTCCACCTGTGTTCTATAGCTCTGCAGGAAGCTCCAAATCCACCCATCACCCATGCAGGAACCCAAGGCAGCCTTGATTCAAGGTCTCCTTCATCCTGCACATCTGGTCACCTCCCAAGTTACACTGGCATTGCTTCTGTAGGATTTCTCAAATCTAGCCTTGTCCCTCTTCCATCACTTAATTCTCAAACATAACATGGCCCTCAATGTCTCCTTCTCCCTCTGTCTCCCCAGGATCCCAGAGTATGAATTCCACCTGGACATGTCTGTGTTTTCAATCTTTTGATGGCTCTCTTGATTTGAGAGTAAAATCAAAATCCCTGAGAATCCTCCTCCATTACCCCACTTCCAATTCCAGACCCTTTCCTAGCCTTCCAACCTCATGTACTGGCATTCCTTATAAACTCTATCCTCCAGCCACACTAGACTTCATCAAAGTCCACACCATGATGGTTTTCATCTCTGCTCTGTGACTTCTCTCATTCCTTATTGTCCTTCCCTCACCTCCTATTCACCCCTCATGAGACTTGAAGTTCACTTCCTCCTGAAAGTCCTCCCTGACTCTCCCCCATCCCATGCCTCCTTGGTGCTCCCAGATGGCTCACTGTATCATGTGGGCATATTGGTGCCACTTCCTAGCTGATGAGGGAGTGACTTCAGAATGAGATCTGGTCTGGTTTAACTGGTGCTTCAGTTCCTAGCCTGGGAGCCGGCCCTGAGTTGGTGCTCAGCAAACATTTGTTGACTGATTGGTAAAGTGAATGACCCTGTCCTGAGACATGAGGCTGGGGAGGCAGTGGTTTCTGGGTAGGGCTTTGTCCCCAGCTCACCAGTACAGAACAGGCCTATATAGATCCATCGGAACAACTGTGCATGCTTCCTGTAGAAGCTTCGTGCTCTCAGGACTGGCTGCAGGCTCCTCCTGGGGAGAGGACCAACAGTGTTCATGAGTGGCCCTTTTACTCCCATAAAAGTCATCCCAGTATGGATCCTCAACACCTTTAGGTAGAAACCACTCAAGTATGTTCCTAGTACAATGGTGAAGGTGGGCAAGCCAGGCTCTGGCCTTGACATTCCACAGGGTTGCAAGGCAACCTCAGCCCAGAATAAACTGAGCCATGATTCAGGCCTCACTGCCTGTAGGTCTACACAAGTTGGGCCTTTGGACTGGAGCAGTTCTAGCAGGCCCCATTACCCCAGGAATAAACCCTGTTTCCAAGCTGAGGGAATTGATAGGGAAGAACCTTATCAACATACAGAAATATTCAAAGATGACAGCCTTCACATCCCTGATTTCCACCTGTCCATGGAGCAAGATACAGTAGCTTCCTGTTCTTCATTTGCTCCCTTTGGATCAGGACACTCATTATCTAAGTCAGCACTACCTATTCCAGAGGGAGGGAGCGTAGCACTACCGATTCCAGAGGGAGGCAGCCTGGCCCCTGCCCAAGTGTGACTACCTTCAGACCCAGTCCAAATGCTAATTCTTACCTGGTCATTTGGTCATCTGTTTGTCCCTGGAGGAATGATAGGTACCTCTAGTAGATGTGCACTCACTGCTCATGGAATTCAACCACTAAAAGCAATTTTATCCTCCTGTCCCCTCTTTGGAGGGCAAGTGAGGCATCTTCCCGAGTCCCTCCATCCAGACAATAGATGGATCCCTTCCCCATTGCCACTCCAGATCCTTCATTCTGTGCTCAGTTCAGGATCCTGCCACCGAGGACCCTCTGGGCTGGTCCTTTTCCTTCCATATAAAATGTGAACCTGGGTCAGTCCAAGAGTTTTAAACTGAGCTTCAGATTTCCCCTTAAGTTCCCTCAGAGGCAGGACCAGGTATAAGGGGGATGGGGGAGGTTAAAGGGGAACCCCTGACTGGTTCAGGGCCTCCTCCCCAACTTCCACCAGAGCAGCCCACAGTACATGTTGGGGTTTCTGGCTGCTTATGAACAGGTAGGGCCTGTGGCCTGGCTTACCTCTGAGGGAGAGGACAGCATGGCTCATCTAGCTGCAAGAAATGGCTGAAGTGCCTTGGTTCCTCCTTCAACAAAGGTATCCAGCTCCCACATGTGCCAGGAGGCCAGGATCCCCAACCTATTTCCCTGACTAGTCCATCATCCTCACAGAGATCACCTACCATCTAGAGAAGGACTTCGGGTCAGCTTTGCTCCAGCTGCCCTCGTGCTCTATGGGGCTGGAGTCACTGCCAGGGAGCCGGCCTTCCTCCTAAAGCCATCAGGGAGACATCAGGGCCAGCCTTCCCACCTGAGAGATAGAAGAGCTGAGGGGCCCAGAGAGGTGAGAGACCCAGACCACCCCAAGGTACCCACAGGCCCTCATCAGTAGACTGAGGTGAGAATGGGACTTTTGCACAAGAAATAATCAGAGGGTTACTTAATTAAATTCTGCAAAGCATACCATGAGCACCTACTATGTTCAGGGCTCTGTGTGTTAGACATATTCTGCCTTCAGGGAGCTTGCAATCTGCATCAAGGAGGAACACTTTGACTGGTTGGGGGCCAAGAGGAAGCCTCTAAGGGAAGTCCCAGGCAGGGTTACCTCACTGTATGTCTAAAGAATGCCATTTACCCCACAATCCTTGGAGTTATTGGGTGGGGGACATTCTTGCAAGGTGACATTGTGAAAGCTGCCTCCTGGGGTGCACAGGGCAGCATAGGGAAGGGATCTGGTCACAGAAGGTTGGGAGAGGAAAGGGTGCCATGTTATGCTCCAAAGACCAGGTTGTGATCCTCAACTTGGCTAGTGGAGAGGAAGGAGAAGATTGGGAGCTCCTGGAAGGCTGAGGCTTTCTCAGAGACTCACCCCATCATCTCGTTTCTCTTCTCATCTTTCAGATTGGAGCTTAAATGTTACTTCTACATTGTAAATTTCTCTGACCTTTCAGACTTGGATGGGTAGGTGCCCAATAAATGTTTCATGAGTGAAATAAAGGGGGCTGATTTATACAGGGACTCCAGCTCATAGAGTTGCCTTAACTATGCAAGCAAATAGCTGAGGAGGCCAAAGAAGATGGATGTATAAGAAGGTGGGCACAGACCCTCCCACTGTGGGTTAGGACTCAAACCCAAAGAGGAGGCTGGGGAAGTGGACAGACCAGGCTCTCCAAGAACTCAGCCTCCGTGTTCTCCAAGCCATGGGTCGCAGGTTTGAGAGAAACGAACTCTCCTCGTTTGGGTGCCTGCTTCTCCATGGGCCAGATCTTCCAGCTGAAAGACAAAGACAGAGCCCAAAGCTAAAGGGAGAGCCTGCAGGATCCAGGAGCGGGGGTTGAGGAAGTGGGGAAGAGGGCAGGGTGGCAGGAGCAGAAGCCTGGAAGCACCAGGCCCTTGCCTGGGGGTTTCATAAGCCATCCCAGAGCTGGCTCCTCATTGTGCCTCGGACCTCTGCCTGGGCCCCTCTAACACATGGAGGAGGTGGCCCTTCTTACATTCCCTTCTGAACCTGTCCTGTAAGCTCCAGGAGTTCCAGGCCAAAACAGCAAATCCTGCCCATTTCACAGGGAAGGAAAGGAAGGAAATGAGTATGTATCTGATACAGGCATTTTTCTGAAGAGAGGCCCTGGCTTGCCTCACTCCACACAACAGGTTAAAATCACTTGCCATTAAGTGATAGGCTCACATGTTGATGGACACACAAAAAATAAACCATGGTAAAAAAAATAACTCCTATATTGCCTTCAAAAAGGAATCTGCAATTAATGTCAGTCAAGATCCATCTTTGTGCCAGGCGCGGTGGTGCATGACTGTAATCCTAATGGCTCGGGAGGCTGAGGCAGGAGGATTGCAAGTCAAAGCTAGCCTTAGCAAAAGCGAGGCACTAAGCGACTCAGTGAGACTCTATCTCTAAATAAAATACAAAGTAGGGCTGGGGATGTGGCTCAGTGGTTGAGTGCCCCTGAGTTCAATCCCTTGTATCAAAAAAAATCATCTTTGCAAAAAATCTGATTTCCGCATTTAGCCAGTATAGCCAGCAGATATTTCTGATCCATAATGCATGGATTCCTTCAAAGAAAAAGCAATCATTAAACAAACTTTTTAAATTTAAAAACAACAAAGTTCTTATAAGGTAAATAATGTATTTAGCATGAAGCATGAATTATTTTCATATAAATATAGAAAATAGAGAAAAGGCCATGCCTCTCATTTGTAAGCCCTTGGGATTAGAGGTTCTTTGTTTCCTCCTTTTTTCCTTTCTCTTTCTTTCCTTTTTTCTTTTTCTCCACTCCCCACCTCCCTGGGGTGGGGACAGGGAGGTAGTTTTGTTTTGTTTTTTTGAAGCAGGTGTTTAAGGTTTAATCTTCTTCATGGAAAAATTATGACTGTTGGAGGACTTACTGTGCAATATAAAAATCTCCTCATGCTCTGGCAGGGCTTGGATGGTTCGACTCTATGCTGCCTGTCTGCACTCGGGCCCAACACCCTCTGATTCTCTACTGAAGAGCATGTCCTTCTCTTTGATGCAATACTTCAAGGGAATAAAAGTAGTGATATGCTTATTGTATTATACTTTTCCACACTTGAAAAATGGAGACACAATATCCTGAAGACAACAATCTGGTCCCTAGATAACTACCCCTGGACTTTTTCATGCCAAGAGCCAATAGTTCCTTTTATTTTTTTCCCCCAACATTGGGGATTGAACCAAGGGGTGCTCTACCATTGAGTTATATCCCCAGTCATTTTTATATTTTTATTTTGAAACAGGATCTAGCTAAATTATTGAGACTGGCCTCAAACTTGCAATCCTCCTGCTTCAACCTCTGGAGTTACTAGGAGTGAGCCACTACACTCAGTCTATAGTTCTTTTTTTTGCTGAAGCTCAATTCATAGGCTTCAGCTCATCTGTAAATAAAGTCCTAAGTGCGACCCTGTCTCCCTACTCCCATTCCTCCTCCTTTTTTCCCTTTGGGGATTACCATACTCGATCCCAACAGCAGACTGGTTAAGATAACACACCCAGACATACATACAAACAAGCAGGGACACACATTGAGTGCGTATGCACACACACACACACACACACACACACACACACAGAGCCTTGGAAGCCCTGATTCCAGCACACACACAGATACAGCTGCACAGAGAGGACAGGACCTTATTCCTACTCACATATTTGTGGTGACAGGTGGTCCTCAGGAAGAGATGGAAGCGCAGGTTTCTCTAGGGATGAGCTGAGCCAGCCTGCTTGTGCTTTGGCCTGTGTTCACCTTTCAAAGGAAATTCCTGGGCAAGGTCCAGAACTGCAGTAGGTTGGGCCTCCCCAGAGTCCAGCGACACAAGGCTGCGGCAGGATCCTAACCCTTATTGAGGGAAAATGGGGTGGGAAAGGGAGCCTATAGAGGTCTGGCCCGGTGTAGCTTCTGCCCCACCTGACTGCCTCCCACCAGAAATGACCTCCCTCCACTCTCCCTGCTCCTGAACTGACCTCTTCCAAGGCCAGATCTGGTTCCCCTCCTCCAGGAAGCAACCTTTGGTATTCCCGCTCTTCTCCTTCCGGTTTCCATCTGTCATCCCCTGTATTTCACCTTCCATTTTGCATCTCACTCTCTCTTCCTCCCTGGATTAGTAATTATTATAACAACGTATTTTCCTAAGCTTGGAAGATAGGGAAGGTGTGTAGCTGTCACAAATAGGAAGCGTGTTGCAAGTCTAAGCATTGAAACAGTCACGAAAGCAAAACAAAATCCCACTGTTTCCCTCTTCATTTCTTTCTTTTTTTCCCCCTTTAAACTAAATGCCTAAGCAACATTGTGCAAAGTCAAGGGACAAACAATTTAGTTTTTCAGTCTTCAAGCTAAGCATTAAGCTTATCTGACAAGATTAACAAACATTTCTTTAATAATTAATAGTACACACTAAGGACAAAATCCTTTATGGCACAAAACTACTTCCTGGTAACATAAGAGCAAGCACCTGGTACAGGTACGCAAGTTGTTTTGGAAGTTTAGATGACGGATGGAGGGACCCCTATTCTCTAAAAACTTCCTTTTCTTTGCCCTTTTTTGTTTGTTTTGTGGTACTGAGGGTTGAACCCAGGAGCACTTTACCACTGAGTGAGATTCCTGGCACTTTTTATTTTTTATTTTGAGACAGGGTCTTACTAAATTGCTGAGGTTGGCCTCAACCCTGTGATTCTCCGGTTTCAGCCTCCTGAGTTGCTGGGCACATGCCACTGCACCTGGCTTCTTTTTCTCTTTCATTCTAATTACCAAAACATTAGCTGGGTTCAATGGTGCATACCTGTAACCCTAGCTATTGGGGACTGAGTGGTGGAGGTGGGTGGTTTTGAGGCAGGAAGATTGCAAGTTTGAGCTCGCCTGGATAACTTTAGGGAGACCCTATCTTAAAATGAAATAATTTTTTTAAAATTTTATTTATTTATTTATTTATTTTTATTAGTTGTTCAAAACTTGACATAGCTCTTGACATATCATATTTCATACATTTGACGAAATAAATTTTTAAAGGCATGTGTGTGGGGGTGGGGCTGGAGATACAACTCAGTGGAAAAGCACTGTGGGTTCAGTCCCCAATACAAAAAAAAAAAAAAACCAACAATCTAATTACCAAAGTAATGACACATACATTTAAATCTTATAGAAAAATACAGAAAGCATTAAAATCCCCCTAATCTGAGCCCTCCACAGATAAGGATTATTGAGTATTCGGAATTTCCCGCCTATTTTCCCCCTAAGTGTATACAATTTTCTGTTATTCATTTTCCAACAGAGATCCACAACGTGTCCACTCACATTGGTGGGGCCACATGTCCCCTTGATTGTAGACCGAATGTTTACCTTGAGCAAGACACAGATGGACTCAAAGCTGCCTCAAAGGGGGCCTCCTTGAGTCCCAATGAAGGGCAAAGGACTATATTAATTAACTTCTCCACCTCTGCCCCTTCCAACTCCTCCTGTCGCCCCTTTCCTCCTGTCATCCTCCCCTCCCGTCCCCACTTGGTGTCTGTCGGTGCTCAGAGGGAAGCCAGTGTATCCAGTGGCAACCAGGTTGGTTTCAAAACATTCATTGCAGCTTCATGGGACTGATCTCTAGAACAAGAGTCCAACAGGCTGTGTGTTCGTGGAATGAACCTGGAGCACAGAGCCCTGAGTTCTATGTTCTAAGTGAGATTCACTCACTCCAGTCTCTCCAAGTTAACTTGTTTCCTCATCTGCGAGCTGGTGAAGGTAGGTAAAGTACCTCGGAAGAATTAAATGACAAGCTTGAGAGACAGTCCAGCACCTGAGGCTTTCTTCTTCTTCTTCTTCTTTTTTTTTTTTTTTGGTGGTGCTGGGGATTGAAGCCAGGGCCTTGTGCATGCAAGGCAAGCACTCTACCACTGAGCTACACCTTCAGCCCCCTGAGGGTATCTTAACACATCGTAACTCTCCAAGTCAGGGGACCAGTGCCTACTCCCTGCTTCTCCCCTCATGGACTAGTGGCTGGCAGGGATCCCAGGCCTTGTGAAGCCAAATTCTTTTTAGGTAGCATTTGGCTGAAAACCCAGTGCCGGCAACTGGGAGACTGGAGAGGTGAGGACTGAGACTCCCCAGGAGAAGACCAAGAGCTGAAGTGGGTGTCCTGCTCCTACCCATCCAGCTGTGTGGCCTCAGTACCTCAATGACCCCCTATGTGGCATACTTCCCGAGGAGATAGCCTCTGATACCCAGTCAACCCAGAGGGACTAGTGAAGTACAGGACAGGGCCAGGATGAGGACAGGACCACATGAATACACATATATAGCCTCCCTGTCATCAAAACAGCTCTTTGAGATTTAGCTTAGTAGCATGCACAAGGCCCTGGCTTCAAGCCCCAGCACAAAGAACAAAAATAAAAACAAACCAAAAACACAAATAAGTACCCCCAACACTTAGAAGGGTATATAGTGAAGGGGCTGTTCCACCTCTCCCATCCCTGTGCCTCTCTTCAGAGGCGACTGATTATCTGACCATCCCCTGTGTTAGGGAAATTCTTAGCCAAAGAATTGGAAAGGATCCTTTTACCTTATCAGGCTGCTTTAATAAACAGGATACGTATTTTTTTTATAAATAGTGAGTAAAACACTCAGCACTCTAAGAGGCAGACATCATCAGGATTGTTCAGCAATCTTTTGATTTTCTTCTCACGACTTTGCCTACGCTTATTTCTTGGCTTTTTGCCAGTGTCATCTCTTTCATTGTGTTGATTCAGGTGTCCTAACAGTGGACAAATAGACAGGCTCAAAGTTCATGAGTATAACCTTGCCATTCTTCTCTCCTTAAGCCTGGGAATATTGTCAGAATAAAAGCCTAGTACAATTTTGTTGTTCTCATTTTAAAAATGATGTCTGCCTCGACCTGGAGTTGTAGCTCAGTGGTAGTGCTTAGCACTTGTGAGGCACTGGGTTCAATCCCCAGCACCACATTAAAAATAAATGAATAAATAAATGAAATAAAGGTGTTGTGTCCATTTACAACTAAATTTTTTTTAAAAAAATGTCTGCCTCTTTCAGTTATGAAAGAGGCAGTTTCACTTACTAACTAGAAATTAGTATGTTTCACTTACTAATTAGAAAAATATCCTGTTCATTGTAGCAGAGCCTTATAACAAGAAGGGATCTATTTCAACTACAGTACATAGCAGAAATATTAAAAAAATATTAAGCTTTTGGGAGTTTGTGGTTTCAGAGGTTCTGTCCATGGTTGTCCAACTCCCTTGCTCTGGGTTGGAGGTAAGGCAGAACATCAGGGCAGGAGGGCAGGGTGGAGGAGAGTTACTCAGCCCAGGGTAACTAGGAAGCAGAAAGAGTGTACAAAAGGAGCCAGGGACAAGATACAATCCCTCTATTCAAAAAAATTTTATGACATGAACAAAACATGAAGAAATAGCTCAGACTTTTATACTCTCTGCTTATAACTCAAAAATTTTCTTCAGGAATGGATTATTCTAAGTCTTACAGCATGATACTCTTTTAGCAACTATATAAGTGCAGGTGTTTGCAGGGAAAGAAGCATTCTAATAATACACATAAGGCAGAACCCCCAGCCTCAGCCTGCTTGGTATGATTATCCCAGGGTTCCCAGATGTACTCTGCCCTTTGACCCTTTCTACTCATTGGGAACAGATGGACATTAATGGCCATAATACAACACAAAATGAAAGGATGAGTCTGGGGCTCATCTACCTCAACAACAGTGGAGGGCTGGTAGAATAAGGACACCTGCATACCCATGACAATTCAAGGCCACCAATCAGGGAAATTTACCCAAGAAGTTCAGACATCACTATTTCCAAATATTTAGTTGGTTGCTGCTTTGTAAAGAATATTTCCCTTGTTCTTCTTGTTTTACCTTCTATCCCTCCTGCCTCTCCATCTCATATTTGCTCTGTATATACTGAATGTTAAGGTTAGATCTTTGATATTGCTCAGAAAGCTCATGTATTGGAAGCATGGTCCCTGATACAGTGAGGAACAGAGGTGAGCTTTTAGGCAATGGTGAGAGTGGTAACCTCATCAGTGGATTAATCCATTTGATGAATTAATAATTTGAATGGACTACTGGGTGATATTTATAGACAGGTGAGGCATGACTGGAGGAAGTAGGTCACTGGGGATGTGCCCTTGAGATTTATATATTGTTCTTGGCATTCTGCACACTCTCTCTGCTTCCTTGATACCATGAGCTGAGCAGCTTTCATTTGCCACAAACTCTCACCACGATGTTCTGCCTCACTCTGGACTAGAGCAAGGGAGTTGGCCGACCATGGTCTTAACCTCTGAAACCATGAGCTCAAAATAGATTTTTCCTCCCCTAAGTTTTTGTTGTCAGGCATTTTGGTCATAGAGACAAAAATCTGACTGGCAGAGCGAGACATTGAAATATTTATTTTTCAGTTTGATCCAGATTAAGATAACCTACAAACCCAGGTAGATCTTAATTCGCAACATCTTGTTGGGTTCCAGGACAATGTCCCTGGCTTCTATGGGGTTTATACCAAAGGCATATCCTACTTCTGAGTGCATGATTTTCCTCTAGCCATTAGTAAGGGATATGGGGCTATTCATTTTTTTACCAAATTAATAAGACCAGTTCTCTTATTGCCTAAGAACTCAACATAGAGTCGCTGTTGATAAGTTGATTTAGTTTATATAAGAAAAATTTCCTTGATTGTTCCATTTTTTTCCCATCAGAGAAGTAACCTGATGTGACACTCAATGAGCCTTAGTGCAAAACCAAGTATTTTACCAAGGTTGCCATAAACAGGACTTAGGCACCTGGGAAGAGCTAAGAAAATGAAGTTCCTAAAGCCAGCAGTGTTCACACTGAATATATAGATGAGTGGGTATCACAAATTAAATACAGTTGTTAGGAGGGACAAAAATGGATACCTTTGAGTGTCACATCTAACAGGCATTGTAACTGCTTTGTCAGTTTTTTCTTTGCTGCAACCAAAAGACCTGACAAGAATAATTTTAGATGACGAAGAGTTTATTTGAGGGTCTCATGGCTTCAGAGATCTCAGTCCATAAATAGCTGGCTCCATTCCTCAGGGCTCAAAGTGAGGCAGAACATCTTGA